CTCGTCCTGGAAGGCCTGGCTCAGGCGCTCCACCTCCTCGCCCGTCAGGTCCAGGTCCTCCAGGCTCGAGCGGGCCGCCATGGCGGAGCCGCCTCCCGTCCGCTCAAGGCCGGGCTGGCCCGAGAAGAGCCCCTTCGGCGGCTGTCTCCTGAGGGGGAAAAAAAGAGCCCAAAGCGGTTGCCATGGAGACGGAGGGAAACAAAATGGCGGCGGGAGAGCCGCGCGGGGATATTGCCATGGAAACGGGCCTAACAAGATGGCGGCTGCCGTTGCCATGGCGAAGGTGGAGGCTTCCTTCCGTGGGCCAAAGGGATTCCTCTTGGTTGCTGCCATAAGAGAATCCGATTCGAGAAAGCAGACGTTGGCGTTTACTGCGGAGGTAGGGGAAGGAGAGGACCGTTGGGACCCTTCCTGGGGAGCCAGTCCTCCCCACAGCCTCACCAGTCTGGAGAAAGGGGAGAAATGTGGGTGAGAGTTGGGTTCCCAGGCCCTAGCTGGAAGGTGGGCCTTTGGGGCCAGTGCGGCAAGAAAGCTTCCCTCTCTTGGACCCTGGTTAGGTCTCGCCTCCAGTCCAGTGCTGGACATGACACTTCCAAGAAGGACGCTGACACACTGGAGCAAGTTCAGGGGGAGAGACGCAGTGAGGATCGGGGGGGCCTGAAACCAAGCCCTAGGAGGGAAAGAAATGGACCTGTTTAGCCTAGCGGAAAGAAGACTGAAGGGAGATACTATGGCAGCACTTTTCAAATGCTTGAAAGTCTGTCGTCCAGAGGAGGGGCAGGATCTCTTCTTGATCATCCCAGAGTACAGGGCACGCAACAATGGGCTCAAGATGCACGAAGCCAGATTTCAGCTGAATGGCAGGACAGAGGTTCCCCTTGACAATTCTTGTCCAGTCGTGCTCGACTCTAAGAGGCGGGGCTCATCCCCGTTTCCAAGCCATAGAGCCAGCGTTTGTCCGAAGACAATCTTCCGTGGTCACATGGCCAGTGCGACTCAGCCACGGAACACTGTTACCTTCCCACCAAGATGGTCCCTATTGATCTACTTGCATTTGCATGCTTTCAAACCCCTAGGTTGGCGGGAGCTGGGACAAGCAATGGGCGCTCACTCCGTCCCATGGATTCGATCTTACGACTGCTTGGTCTTCTGACCCTGCCGCACAGGCTTCTGCGGTTTAGCCCACAGCGCCACCACGTCCCACCTGAATGGCAGGAAAAACTTCCCAAATGTTAGAGCAGTATGACGATGGAGCCCATGGCCTGGAGAGGTGTTGAACCCTAACCCTAACCCAACCCTGGAGACATTTCAAGAGGAACTTAGATAAACAATACAACAACAGTAACTGAGACCTCAGGAGGTACTGAAAGCTCCAGCACCAGAGGCCTTCAAGAGAAAACAGGGCCACCCTCCTCGATCCGATCTCCTTTGGCTTGGATTCCTGCCTCGAGTGGGGACTGGCCTTGGTGGGCCTTAGAGGCCCCCTTCCCGCTCCATGAAAGCAGGGATTGGCCTTGGTGGGCTTTAGAGGCCCCCTTCCCGCTCCATGATTCTAGGAAGGACTGCTCCATCCGTGGCCCACTTCCCGGAGGCACCTCTAGCCTCTTTCCACTGAACCGGCACCTACACACACAAACACACACTGCCTGTGGCATCAGGGGGCCAAGCAGGTGCTCATTCATCCCTCCGTGTCGTGTGGCCCTGAGAGGAGGGGTACGAACAGACGCCATGGTGTGCCCGTAGCTTCTGCCGACTAAGCTGACAGGCAGGTGCCTCTAGCCTCTTTCCGCTGAACCAGCACCTATACACACAAACACACACGCACTGCCTGTGGCATCGGGGCCAAGCAGGTGCACGTTCATCCCTCCGTGTCATGCAGCCCAGAGCAGAGGGGTACAAACAGAAGCCATGGTGTGCCCGTAGCTTCTGCCGACTTGCAATGGAAAGGGTAAGCCCCAACACGCCCTGCCAACAGAAGCACACGTGCAAATGGTCCTGCAAAAGTTTCTTATGGAAACGGCCTTCCCTCTTTCTGGAAGCCACAGAGAGAATGCTTGGAAGGCCAATATTTCAAATATGCTTCTCAGCAGCAGTTGGTTTGACAGTGATGGGTATTCTTGCCCACGGATAGGAATCCGTTACATTTCTCATTTTCTTCCAAGGAGCTCCTATTGCCCAGCCGCCCGTAACCTTTTTTTGTCCCTACGAGGAAATTTGGGCTAAAAGCAATTGGACAAGTATCACTCTTTGGACATCGTACCTGAGTGTGGGATTATACTCAGATTTTCCCAGCTCTTTATCTGGCACTGTCGCGTTTGTAATGAGAGCTGTCGGCATCAGCTCTTCCAGTGACTTGAGGGAATTTGCTTCTTTTTAAAAATAATCATCGGATTCAACCTCAGATACTTGTTAGCCTTTCCCCAGCCTGGCATTGTCCAGATGAGGATACCTCCTGTAATTTCCTGAGCAACCAGGGGTTTTTGTTATTTTGCTTTAAAGCAAGCATGTGGTTGGACACCGATATCAATGTAGTTGATCAACTCAGAAGAAATGGGTTGGCTATACTGTAATGATGCATTGGGACTTCTCTGTTTCCAGATGCACATTTCCCCCCACCCCAAATGTGGGCTTTAAAAAGCTTTACTAGCAACCATGGCTGCTGCAGGATTGTGGGAAATGTAGTCCCACCTGTCTGGAGGGAGCCAAGCTGAGACTGTGCTGCAAAATCTTCCAAGCTTCTTTTTCTTTGAAATGGTTTCATGGACAATAAAAAGGCTAACCTAAAACAACGACTGGAGTATTAGAAGCACACATGTTTCCCTAGACTGGCAACTGACAATTGATCTAGGTATCCGTGATTTTGCACGACTTCTGTCTCTAGCAGAGCTGTTAATACATAGTGCAAATATACAACACCTTTATTTAAAAATCTGTATCAAAAAGTTCTGTATCAGTATAACTGCACATTGCCAAAAAAATACATCATCCTAGAAACAGGGCTGATGTCATATTATGAACAAGATGTTGATTCTGTTCATTCTTCATGGAGATTCAGAGACCTTGAAGTTTGCTGAAAATAAAACCAATTTTGTTATTAAAACTGCACTGTTTTTTTTCTTGGAATTGGCTTACTACTGTCTATCTTGAACCCAAACAACTGAATATTGAAGTTACTGAACAGAGTATGCCCTACAGAGACGTCTATTCCTATGGTTACAGAGTCCAACTTGTACATTTAATTAAAGTTCCCTAAGTCTTCTAGATCCGTGTGGGCACAGAGGGCCTCCTTCACACAGATTTGTGATGTTTTGTCCCGCCGCCCTGAGGATTAAGTTCTATTTAATGCAACAAAAGGGGCTCTATTTACATTTCACATAGAGGCCTCGCATCAGCTAGCCATGCTTTTAGATTTAATTCTCTTAAAATTCATCTTGGCTGTTTTCCAACAGCTGGGTTCGCCACAAGTTTAATAACTTAAGATTTAAAATGTTCCCTGTACACACAAAGGCACAGTTTAATTAAAATAAATATAAATGGACTGGGCTTCAAGTCACAAACAGTTGCAATGAGATTGCAGAGCGGTGCTGGAAAAGTATATGCACATTTTATAGCACCCACACTTAACGGAACACAGTCTCCAGCGTCACTGCTGGTGTTCAGCTCTGTTCTGCTGCACACGCTAGCACAAAAAACATGCAGTGCATTTTATCACACAGCAGTACTACAGTCCCTTTGTTATTTTCTTTATATGCTGTCTTCCAGTAATAATACTCAGAAACCACATCATTTAGTTAAACTATAAGGAGATCCCTAATCCATATCACCTGAGGATACAAATCATTTTCGGGTTTTTAAGACGTGTAATATTTAAAGAGTGTTTCTCCCCTTGCTACCGCCCAGTGATTTTCCACGGCTAAGCAGGGATTTGAAACAAGATGTCCTGAATCCTACCCCAACACTTCCAGCAATTATTTTTAATTGTTAAAATCCTATTAAATTCCTGAACTTTATGCACCACTGAGTCTTCTTTGTGCACCCTGGCAAGAGAAACTGGGATAAGCAGTTCTTCTATAAGTTAAAAGGTGGACATCAAGAAGAATGCTGAACTGAGGGGGGGAGGCTCAACTCATATGGGGCAAGTCTCAGAATTTTCTTCCTGAAGAGGCTTGTCTGAATCTACACCTTCCCTTTCAGAGTGTTCTTAAGAACTGGTTTCAGACAAACATTTGCTCGCCAGCAGCAGGTCCACGGGGGTGGGATGCAATTCTGGAATTCTTTGGAGTAGCCTGTTCTCTGTCATTTCATTGCTGTGGATTTCCCCTTGTCCTTATTCTTATTTTTGATTTGGGAAGACCTTTTGCTTCCACATTTTGCCTTCCCTTCCCTGCTGCCAAGGAACTGTCATCTGCCGACAGCAGCCCAGTATATTCACATGTAAATAATATTTGGAAAGAGAGGTGGTATAACTCAGTGGGTTGGAGTTCCTGGCTGTGAAACTGAGTCTATGAGCTGAATCTCTCCTAGAAGAGGATCCATCCAAGATCCTCCCAGAGAGATTATGCAGGACTGATAGGGTTACATCTAGTCCCACCTGTGGGGCCGTGGGCATGAGGCATGTTCCCAAAGCAACATCAGGCGGGATGGGTAAACTATCTCTGAGAACGTGATCCATAGAAAACCCTAGGAAGGATCGGCATCAATCAGAATCCAGGAATTGACTCAATGATCTAAAAACAGGAGCCGAGACTGGCCCACCGGTTCAAAGCAAAAAAACTAGGCCTTACCTGTCCTCAACGGTTTTGTTAGATGGGTAGTATACTTTAAATGAAAAGCCGCTTCTGGGAAAAGACCCCTACCATGAAAAGAAAAACATGGAGGAAATAATGTTAGTTTTAAACCCAGGCCTTTTCTTAAAGCAGTTATCTTTCAAGTTAGAAGCCACTTTCAAATATATATTTGCCTGTTTACCCACTCACTCTTGAAGAATAATTAATTCTGGCCCAACACCTAAGAGCGGTGTTCTCAGGAATAATGCAGTTCTAATTAAATTGTCTAGGGCACAGAATTAACATTATTCATGCAATGTTAACGGCTGAAAAAATAGTATGTTGGGGAAAGGGATGCATGGAATAAATCCAGAGCTTGGAAACTTGGCCAGACTGGCCCCATATTCGCTGTCCTTCCGCTAACAGGCAAATACCTTTCTCTTCAGGAAAGCTTTCCCTCAGTGACTGGCTCCTGAGTGGGATTTTTTATAGATGGAATGTTGTACCTTAATGCCTTTTTAAATATAATTGTTATTTAAAAAGAACTAGGGACAGGGTAAGGGGTACAAAGGGTCAGGGAAATGGACAACAAAGGGGGAAGAAGGGGGACATAAAATATACTGTCATTAAATCCTCCTGTTTGTGTTACAATATCAAGTGCACTTTTTCCACCTTTCTACACTTCGATTGTCCTTCCAGATTTATACTTGCAGTTACCTCTTCGTTTAATTCTCTGTTAATGAAGCTCTATCTACTGACTCAAGCCATTTATATAATAAATCCCATTGTTCAGTTGCCTTTTGAATGTATTTTGGTACTGCTTATACTATCTGTATAGTGTCTGATTAGACCTTTGGTCTAGAGGGGTGGGAAAGAAATCCAATAAATAAATACATCTGTATATGTTTAATGCTTTGAATGTGTTTTAATATTGCTGATATTATTTTATTGGTATTTATATGATCCTTTTTAGAATTTGTAGACTCGCTGTTGTTAGCTTTAATAGTCTAATGATGTAAGCCACTTAGGGCCTTTTAAGGAGAATGGTGGAGTAAAAATATTTTAAGTAAATAAAAATAAGAGCCACACAGCAGAAACCAACAACATTATCAGTGAGCATCAACCATCAGATGGATGACAGCATGATTTTTCCTCTCTGGATTCAAACTGGCTTGACTGGGTGAGCAGTTAAAATAATTTTCTGCACATCATCATAATGCGCTTAAAGGCTAAAGATTTCGTAAAGCTATAAAACCTTTTACTTATTAATGATATTTTTGAGACCCATATTCTTGCTTTTCAGTGCATCCTATTAGGTTATGCACTCATGCATTTTTAGAATGTAATTAAAACATCCTTTTTCACATAGCGAGCCGGTGTAAAAGCTCTAGACACGTCCGCATCTCTGCGCAAGCCCACAAAGATCCACTTGTGTGCATTCACAGAGACCACGAAGAAGAATCACTCCCCTCAATGTTTGTTAAAAATCTAATAGATATAGGAAGGTTTTCTTTCCTGTTCTGCAAGTTAAATACACAGGTTTCCGTCATGCGATAAGAAAACGGCAACGCGAGAGCTCTTACAGGATTTATGCAAAGGCAGTCGGTGTTGGTCACAGTGAAGGGGTCGTATTTGTCAGCAAACACAATCATGTCCGGCAGAGGGTAGGTTCTCAAGGTGTAGTCGTAAGCCCAATAGACGGGGCTGACGTTAAGAGGCAGTGGCGTCAGGTGCCCTTGCGAAAGAACGGTCTTCACAAACTGCAAAACAAAGCAAAGCACAAGGTCCTTGAAGACGGGAGAGATTCAGGGCAGCTGTCAGGGATCAGAGTCCAGATCTAAAACGGTTCCTGAAGAACCGGACTGTAATCCATGAAAGACCAAGCTACATGAAATCCATGTGAAGGCTACCGTTAAGATTTCAGTCGGTGGTTTGGTTTGCCAGTTGCACGTGGGCCAGCCCTCTAGAGGTCTGGCTCAGATGAAATTCTGGCTCAGTTCGGTGGGATTTACTTCCAAACAGGATTTTAGAATGGGTGCCTAAATTATGTTTTCCTCAACTGATCAGCAGCACACATCAGGAACTGCCGCCCTTTCTTCTGGTTGCTTTATTCCAAATTCTAGACCTCTTGAGCGCTGAGGTTAGACTTCAGACGAGCCTGAATCCCTGCAAGTTTTGAACTGTGAGCCCTGTGGGATGATGAGACTTCCCACAGAACTATGTTATCTAAAGCAGACTCTAGTTACTATGCTTCTGTGAAGCTTTTATATTTGCCATGCATAGTAGCTGCAGAGTCTCTGGTTTGGAGACTCCCTTAGATAACACAGTCTCCCTAAGGAATCCCATTAAGTCATTTAAATCATCCGTATCTTGATTTGGGGGTGCTCACCACTTTGGTCCATGCACTCGTAGTCTCAGAATTAGAGTACAGTGGTGCCTCGCTTAACGACGATAATCCATTCCAGGAAAATCGCTGTTAAGCGAAAACATCGTAAAGTGAAATTAAAAACCCCACTGAAACGCATTGAAACCCGTTCAATGCGTTCCAATGGGGTAAAAACTCACCGTCCAGTGAAGATCCTCCATACGGCGGCCATTTTTGCTGCCTGTATAGCGAGGAATCTGTCCCTAAGCACAGTGGGGAGCCATTTTAAGCACCCGGCGGCCATTATGAAAACCCGACGATCAGCTGTTTTTGATCATCATAAAGGGAAAGTCAGTTCCCGAAGCAGGGAACCGATCATCGCTAAGCAAAATTCCCCCATTTAGACCATCGCAATTGTGATCGCAAAAAGATCGTCATAAAGCGAATTCGTCATAATGCGGGGCAATCGTTAAGCGAGGCACCACTGTACTGTAATGTGCTCTACATGGGGCTGCCTTTGAGACTGACGCGGAAACTTCTGATGGTACAGAACGCGGTGGCTAGACTTCTGACTGGGGTGAAGAGGCACCAGCATATTTCCCCCATGCTGGCCGCCTTGCATTGGCTGCCCATTCGTTTCCGCATTGAAATCCATCCGCTGTTGCTGTGATGTGCCCTCAAATCGCTTGCTACCTACAGCCACCCCTATGAATGACTGATCTCAAAAAACGTCCCGCCCTCAGCAACCCTGCTGCTCAGCTCTTGTGGACTCAAGCCGACGGCATCCTTTTTTGTAGTCACTGCACCTGAACGACCTACCTCTGGAGGCAAAAATGTTGAAACTGAGGCTGTCCGACACATCGTGAGAAGGCAGGGCTCCCTGGAAAAAGCAATCATGCTGGGAGATGGGGAAGGCAGCAGGAGAAGAGGAAGAACAAAGATGAGATGGACCGACTCCCTCAAGGAAGCCAGGGGCTCGAGTCTACAAGAGCTGAGAAGAGCTGTGGAGGACGGAACATTCTGGAAGTCACTCATTCATGGGGTCACTGTAAGTGGGAGGTGGCTTGGTGACACACAACCATCACCACCACAGATACAGCAGAGGGGAAGTTATTCAAAGTTTTCCCCTCTTTTAACTGACTGACATTCTCCGCTGAAAGAACTTTTGCACACTCTTTTGTGCTTCACATCAAGAACTGAAGAAGAAAAACAAAAAAAATAAGACAATGTCTTTATGGTAATATACTTGTTTCCTGAACCAATTACACAGGAGTATATTAGGACAAAAACAAGCCCACAACCACCAGAAATTTAACCCCAAATGTTGGATATTATTTTGTTTAGTTTTTCCCTTACGTGGTTAGGGATGTCCAAGTTGTTGCTAGGAAAGGAACATTTTGGAAGCCACTCATTCATGGGGTCACTGTAAGTGGGAGGTGGCTTGGTGACACACAACCATCACCACCACAGATACAGCAGAGGGGAAGTTATTCAAAGTTTTCCCCTCTTTTAACTGACTGACATTCTCCGCTGAAAGAACTTTTGCACACTCTTTTGTGCTTCACATCAAGAACTGAAGAAGAAAAACAAAAAAAATAAGACAATGTCTTTATGGTAATATGATTTTTTCCTGAACCAATTACACAGGAGTATATTAGGACAAAAACAAGCCCACAACCACCAGAAATTTAACCCCAAATGTTGGATATTATTTTGTTTAGTTTTTCCCTTACGTGGTTAGGGATGTCCAAGTTGTTGCTAGGAAAACGGATACAGTTCCGGCACATCTTATTTACCAAGTCTTCTCGGAATATAACTATTTCCTGGGTGCAATACTGGACCCTAGAAGAAATACACACAAATCTGTTTCCTCAAAACGCTTGAACGGACATCCAGGAGAAGCTATCAGGGGAGCAGAAGTGCTGATATTTTGGGAATATCAGTCTGACCTAAATATGCTACTACAGTGGTGCCTTGCATTACGACGTTCATCCGCTGTTGCTGCGATGTGCCATCAAATCGCTTGCAACCTACGGCCACCCCTATGAATGACTGATCTCAAGAAATGTCCCGCCCTCAGCAACCCTGCTGCTCAGCGCTATCGCAATTGTGATCACAAAAAGACGGCGTAATGCGGTTTCGTTGCAATGCAGGGCAATCGTAAAGTGAGGCACCACTGTATATGTTAATGATTTCAGCACCCCTGGGATGTCATTATTTACCCCCTCCCCCAATTGTTGAACGGGTGCATTTACCTGCAAGGATTTGTTGTGAAAACCGAAGAGGGCACCTGCTGTCTGAATTCCTCAGTGATGCTTTCTGTGAGTGGGGGTCTAAAATAAATTAGTGTGATATGCATCAAAAAATATAGAAGATATACATATTCTCACAGCGACACTTCCAAGGAAAGAGTTTTAACACAGGCATTAACAATCATACCTTGGCAATATGGAGCCTGGGCCAGGATCTTCGGAGCCAGGAACAAACACGAATCGGCTGCTATAAAGAGTCAAAGGCGTATACACTGTTCAGTGGGACCGAAATGGAAAACGGACGCTCCGGCACAGCAAAAGGGCAACATCACTCAAAAGCTGACAGGGGTGTCGGGAGCTGGGTGCAGGCAACCTCCTCTCCTGCCAAGATTCATCTACAGAGCCTGCCTTCCCACCTCAAAAGGGATCCGTGGGAATAAACTGGGGGAGCCTGGCTACAGCTCCCAGGCCTGGCTACAGCTGCTACTCCAATTTCATGCTTACTCAAGAGTTTCTAAACAAAAACTATACTGTAAGATACAAAGGAAAAGCTTTTTAGCAGCTTATTCATTTGGGTTGCATTCAATGTGAATGAAGCCAAACTTCTTTCTAAGCGGGAATAATATTTCTCCTGGGTTGTTCTCTGAGCAAA